AAAGAGAAATATAATCCAGAAAAATTCTCCGATCTCATGCTGAACTAACAACTCGCAACAATAATAACGACAAAAACTAAAAGGAAATGCCCTTTCCGGCCTTATATAGTTTTCAACCGGCCGCCGAGATATTTCTAGCGCTCTGTTTCTCGAAATTACTGGAAAGCAATATGAGGCTCGAATTACGTTTGCAACTAATACAGTGATGAATTAAATTTATTCAATTAAAATACTTATTACGGTGACACAGAAAACGGACCTAAATGTCGCCAAGTTTGGCGAATTAAAGCATTTGTCAGCTTGGCAAGATCTCTCCAAATTACCGAGATATCTATTTCTAAATGTTAAATGTATTTGCTCCCGTATTCTAACTTTTTTTTAGATTTTCTGGGTTACATTACACAGAAAAATACAATTTCACATATTAAGTGCCCTAAAATATTCATCTATGTACCAAATGCGCAACATTGCATATATTTTTATTATTATATTATGATACATGATATATATATATATATATATATATTACTTATGTATATTATTATGCATTACATATTATTATGTATTACATCACATATACACCGAAGGGCAATTACCTTATGACCACCCTGTTAATAACGTATAGGACTACCTTTAGCCCTCCAAACTGCTAGCACTCGGCATGGCATTGACTCCATAAGGTGCTGATACATGGTCTGAGGTATCTGGTATCAAGCGCTCATCCAACTGGCCCTGCAATTCCGGCCCATTGCGAGGGGTTAGCGTGGCAGCACGAATTTGGTTTTCCAGGTGGGACAAATAATGCTTTATTGGATTAATGTCAGGTGAATTTGGAGTCCAAGACATGACTTGAAAGTCATTGGAAAGTTCCTCGAACGACTCCCTGACCATTCGACGCTTATGACATTGTGCATTATCCTGTTGGTAAACATCATACCCCCCGGAAATACTGTTGTCATAAATGGGTGAACCTGGTCTGCAACTATGCTCATGTAGCGTACAGACGCATTGTTCTATGAGGATTACGGGTCCATGAAAACATTGACCACACCATAATGCCGCCGCCACCAGCTGTGCATCCAGGAGCCAGGGTTTCGTTAGGCAATCGGCGTATACGCACACGTCCGCTGATGCGATGGACCAGAAAACTGGATCATGCAACTTTCTTTCATTCTTCTAATGTCCAATTCCGATGTTTTTTGGTTCATTGCAGTCTCAGCTGGCCATGACGTGGCGTCAGTGCACGGACATACTCGGCCTTCGGCTGCGTAGGCCCATACGCAGGAATTTACGCTACACAGTGTGTTGAGAAACGCTGTCTGGGTCGCCACGGTTGTAGCTGGTGGTGATTTCAGCTGTTGTAGCTCTTCGGTCATGGCGAACAATGCATAGCAATCTCCATTGTCCTCTGGAATCAATGCGCTGTCGACGACACACTACTAGTCAGCGACTTGTCGTTTCACCATCCATACTTTTGATATGTGCTTACAACAACCGCACGTGAACAGCCCAGTAAACGCGCCTTTTCTGATATTAATATTCCCAGTTGTCGAGCCATAACGATGTGACCTTTATCAAAGTCTTATAAATGAGCTGCTTTACCCATCATGTCGCTAATCACGCTGCGTTTGGAGTTCCGAGTTCCAATTTATTGCCGCGATTAGCATGCGGTATGCTTGCTTTGTTCCGGCTGTCTTTCTTAATATTGCTTCTTTGGAATTCCACTTCCAATTCCCGCTGTTTGCCCATATTAGCATGAAAAGTTCATGCTGTGTTCCGACTGTCAGAACTTGTGCCATAGAAGGATTCTTCAAGTAGAATGATTGCAGCACTGTAAGTCCAGGAGGAGAGGATAGAAGAGAGCGGAGGGGCGTGACCAGTTTGTCACTTGGACTTGTCTATGACATCGCGTCGGCTGGACAGCATTTCAAAGTTTGATGCTGTAAATAACATTTTTATGCATCTGAGAGGTTAAAAATATCATAAATAGTAACTTTACATAGCACAAATTATGTCTTAATGCATTAATATTAGAATTCAATATTCTAAGTCCACTGCAAATGGCAGAGTAAGTCGTAGTAGTTGAGATGAAGTAGTCACATGATATTTGAGGGCGGTCGCTCAGTCGTGAAGCCAAAAAAGTGTAAGAACGAACTTGCGGCTCTAAATGAGTTTAAATACAATTTCAAAGCATTTCGTAGAAGTAACAGAACTTGGAAACATGAAATATAAAGCACAAGATATACATATATACAGCACAGAATCCAGTAGTAAACTACAAGCGTTCAATTTTAGTGATCACGTGGGCAACTTGAGTGGTCATCCGTTCGCAATGTTGCTAGGAATGAGAGTAACTCAGACAGTTCTACATAAATGTAACTATTATCTGCATGGTGCAATTTACTTGGAGAGAGAGTCATGTGGGGTGGTCACCCACCCAGGTCGGAGCTCAGCAAGTTGCTGCTTAATTATGAGTCGTAAATATAAATTTTAGAAGGCGAAATTGACACATTGAATTGAAATTTAAGTGGGAAAATTCTGATTTGTACTTAACAGGAAAGTAGTCTACAGCCTGAGATATTTATCTTCACTTCGTAGTGAAATGAATTAAAGTAACTTAAGTGCTCGCAGTCCTTTGAGTTAGTGTCTTTTATAGGTTCAATCCTTAAGTTTTGGTGGAGGAGATTATTCCGTACGTAAAAATGAGAGTTGGTGAAAATACGCAAGAATCTACTTTGCACAACTTATGGTTTATGCAGATTCGAATCAGTGGATGCTGCCCCTGCCGAAGAAGCATAAGTCATAATAGGTCGGATAATAGCTAAGTAATCAGTCTCTTTTTTTCCTAAACCCAACTTTGAATATTTGCCCATGGTGGGATAGAGGCGTTTATGAACCTTCATGGCCTTATTTCTCACATTTTAAATGATAAGGAGTTCATGTAAGTTTATGACTGAGTATCATGCTTAAGTATTTGGCCTCCTTCACAACCGGTACATGTTCACTGAAGAGCAATAAATGCGTCTTAAGTGGTGCATTCCGTTTTTTTTTTTCTTATAAGTAAGAGCTGGGATTTCTGGGTATTTATACGCACTTTCCAGCGCTTGCACCAGTCTTCAATTGAATGAATATGTTGCTGAAGTTTTTGAATAGCATAACTGATGTTAGGAGACTTTACTGCCAAGGCAGTATCAACAGCTTAGCATGCCAACATAGAATTATTGTAACAATCAAATTTTGGAAAATCGGAAACATAAAATAACGGAGCTCTGGGGGACACCAGCATTAATATTTAATTCTGTAGAAAGAGCATCACCTACAGACACTTTGAATGAGCCGTCGGAAACAAATGGTAGAGAATCATAATAATTTCTCCTGTGAAATCCAGGTTGATAAGTTTAGAAATAAGACCTTCATGCCAGACGCGTCAAATGCTCTTGCCACGTCTAGCATGAGCATTGCAACGTTAAGTTTGGAACGTGCACCTGCGAATTCCGTAATCTTGATAAGCTTTTTTGCGGTGTAGAAGTTTTCTCGGAAACCGAATTGTTCCGGAGTTTAGAAGGAAGAGGTAATGCTTCATTCTATTAAGTAAGTTTCGTTCATACACTTTGCCTAGTCCCGGTATTAAACTAAATTGCCCTAAACCCATCGGGCTTGGCATGGTCTTTATCAGGTTTCGGAATGAGAATTATTTTAGCTTCTTTCCATCGTTAAAGTAAGACAGAGTCAGGAAGGCATTGAGGATGCTAGCAATTTTACATATCACATTATTCGGGAGATTATCGATATCTTTATTCGAAATGTTGTCAATACCAGGAGCTTTTCTCTTGTTGAGTTTCTTAATAATTTCTTAAATTTAAGCTTGTGTAATCAGAGTAACGATGTTGTTTGCAGTTTGAGTCTCTAGCCAATGACGAACTTTGTTGAGCCTACGTAATTCAAAATCAGGATCTGCCGGCCAATCGTTTGTCTTTAATTAGAGTTCTAAATGATCGGCGAATATGTTAGCCTTATCTTGATTAGAAATTCCAACACAATTATAATAGCAGATAGGGCGATTGCTAGTAAATGTGGTTTTTAAATACTTAATTAGTGCTAAAAAAGAACTTATCTTTCAGATCCAGATTTAGTAACTTATCTTGCCAAAATTCTTTGTGTTCTTTGATGAGATTCTTAATATTTCTATTTAGTTGGTTAATGTCACGCTTTAAGGCTGGGGTCAATGTAGGATGTAAAAGTTTTCTGTTTTCATTACGCTGCCTGATCAATCGCCGACTTGCAGGGAGACTGTGTATATTTTTATCACGATTTGTAACGACATCACTGGTCTCCGTGATAGCATTTTTATTAGTGCCAGTGAGCAAATCAACTGAAGCATCAATTCCCGGTACTGTTCTTAAGTTATATAAATTTGGTACGTTATTTTTGAAAAGATTTTTCAAATAAAAGACAGTCCGGGATTGTTTTGTTCACAGGGGTATCCGGTTTGAACATGCCAAGAATTCCAATAACAGACAGACAGTCTGAACCCATATCAGGTTTCACATCAAGTAGCATGGGAATAATCGCTGTAGATAAGACGATATTAAGTATGTCTGAATGTTCTATCCTGCTAGGTCGATAAGTATGCTCGGAAGGAGCGTGAATAACCACAGGATGATTGGTGATGTACTATTTGGCAGAGACACAAACGAATGTTTTATTGTAAGAGTTACGGATAGAGTTCCACACAAACAATTGGCCCAAATTTGGTCGAGTCTCCACTGCTGGTTGAATGGTAGCCAACTCTCGCAGTTGACGGGATAATATGTAAGTACCCGAAGAACTTTTAAAAACACAGCAGCGAACATGTTTGAAAATATTATTCTGTGTATAGTGTAATTTGCCGCGCGGGAGGAAGCTTTTTCGAATAGAAGCATGAACTGTAAGCAAATGTTTTCAGGCAAATGACATTTCCTATAAAATAAGGCGTGGCAACAAAGTTATTCCTCGGTTACTTTTCGTTGTGTAACTTAATAGTCCCCTTGCATCATCGGTATGAGGCCGTTGGCTTTGACGTTACTGTGTGGTAAGAAAGTTTTCGTTTGTTTCGGTTACTTTCCGTTGTTTCGTGAGGTAACATAGTGAACTTCTTTTGTAATTATAGGTTTCCTCTCTTTAATTAGTGGTGAGGACTGTATCCCAGAAATCTTGAAATGTTCCCCCTTAAGAGTTTCTTTAAGCACTTATAAAGACTTAGCAGAAACAGAGGACGATCTCCACGAAATATGCAAGTAAGATCGACAAACTTTGTATAAAACTTTTTGTAGTAGTAGGTTTGCCAAATTCAAATCATGTAGAGTAGTAAACTTAAATCATGTAGCAGTAAGTTTACCAAATTTAGATCTGAAATTTAATGTCTGTATTTTCCTGAAGCTATGCGTCGATAATGCTATGAGAAAGTGTTGCGCGCGTTCTTATAGCTTTGGGATGGACAGGTTTTGAGTAGTGAACGTTCGATACTAAAATTTAACGAGACTAAGCCCAGAAGAATGCCAATATTCTTGAGACGGAAGGGTATTAAAGTATTTCAAGCTCTGAATATTATAGTAATAAAAAAAGTTACATAGAAGGAATATTTAAAAATTTTTATGTGAACTCTCCTTAAGTAAATCATTGGTAATTTTATTTAAGCTTGATATGTTAAACAATTTGTCAAAATTTCATGGGAAATTGTCAATTTAATTGCTAATAAATAGCTGTACTGTATTTTGTAGCAAAGAAAGTGAGTGCAGCTTAAAAAGATTTGTATGCACTTTCAAATGTTGTAACTTTAAAATCTCTAAAGTTCTAATTTAATGATCATTTGGTTCTTCCTTTAAATGAAATATAATTTCAAAATTACTTCATAAGTTATTGAAGTAGTGATTTTCAAGAATGTTCTGTGTCAATATGATGTAAATCTTACACGCTGAAAATGAGCGTGTGAAAAGGCCTAGATATGAATACTGCCAGCACGAATGACCTTTAAAAGTATAAAAATCTATTTTAGTGTGAACTCGGCAGAAAAAAGTTTTTGCTTTAATTTTTTTAAGTGTTGCTACCAGTTTATTGATTGTAGTGCACAGAGAATTCGAATCTCCCAAGTTTTTAAGGATTAGGTTTTATTGAAATTTGTTCGAGCAATAAGCCCAATTTGGTTGAATTTTCAGAAATGCCAAGAGTGTATTGAATGAGAAAAGAATGCATTAATTCATGATTGATTTTGCTACCAAAACTTCTACAACAGTTGTAAAATACGTACAGTACATGGAACTCATTGACACTGAATCAAACTGCTGAATAGTTTAAAACCTCTTGGTTCCTGCTTTTCGATATTCTTAAATAAGTGGTTTGTATATTGTATAACTAACATCAATCGTACAGAAACGGTACTTATAAAGTTGTTTTCTGTCGCGGTACTTGTAGTCTAAACCTGGAAAGTGCTTTTAACTATAGCTCATGACTGGTCTTCTAAACCAAGCGACGATATTTGCAATGGATCTAACTAACGCGTAGGCTCTTCAAAGCAGTAGTTCCTGAAATAACTTAATTCGACGGTTTCAAGTTATCTTAAACTCTTCATATTCTCCAAGAAATTAACAAATGCCAGTTATTTAGCCTTCTTTCTGCCTTTAAGGGGTCTTCTAAGAATGGTTTTAAGAATTGACAGGTGTCTGTGCTTCTTTTTTACTTTCCTACGTTCCATTTTTCTCGAAGTTAATTTCTATTGGGCAAACTTAAATTCTGCTTTTTCAAATGCTCGATAAGACAGACGTGTGTGGATTTTGCACAGGTGTTTTTTGCGTGACTGCCCAAGTCTTAAGTCCAGCAGCAGAGCGTTAAAATCTCTAAACACTGGTTGTTCGGTCCGAGGTTCGAATCACGCGAAAGGGTTGGATGCACGGGCGTTTTCGTGGTTTTCTCAATGTGTAAACGAGGCAGTTTCCCTTAGAAAGTCATCCACGAAAGCTTCCCTTAGGGAGATAGCCCTCCAAGGTTCGCCGTAATCGCAAACCAAACCGAAAGTCCCATCTTTCGCAAAAATTCCTTTCCTGATGGGTTGTAATGTGACATTATGCCCATTTTTGAGCATTTTATTCAAAGATTAAAAATGTTTAAGTGTAATTTTATTGCCATCAAAAATGTAGGTTTAAGTGCTACAGGCACTCGTACAGCCCCAAACTTTTGCCTCCATGTCTCTTCACTTGCGATTCAGTATTGTGTTTTTGCCATCCATTTGGTTTCCTCCATCCCCCAAAATATAGCGTCTACGTCCATCTACAAATGTAATAAAATTCCAAAAATCGAAGCTTTTTAATGGTTCTCTAATTATTCAGCCATGAAAGTTTCTCTGAAATTACTAGTGGTTCTTTTATTGAGCGTTTCTTAAATGTTTCTTGGCCTTCAATTTGACTGTTCTGCTGTTAGTCCCATTTCTAACGATTCTCATTTCTTAGAGTTCAGTGAAATTCCTTATGCAGAGTTTGTTTTGCAGTATTTTGAAATACATTATGAGCAATACATTCGCTTACATTCAACAGTTCACCTATTTTTCTTCCAGTTTTCCAACAGTTCCCATGAAAATTCCCTCTTTGGTCGAAAAATTTCTGGACACATGTTAATAAAGTAGTTTAGTTACCTTTTTACATTCAAAATTCTTCCAAGCGTTTTACAAGATTTTTAAAACTATTTGGCTACCACCTGCATGTTCAGAACTTTGAGAATACTTTAATTTCATGCTTAAAGACATCTGTAATATAAAGTTCTCGTATTATTAGTTATATAAGTAAGATTTATCGTGTCATTTATGCACAATATAGTTTCGGAGTAAACATTTCTATGCTGAATGTACGAGTTTCTTATTGCACAATACTTTAAGTCCATCCCATATGAAAATAATTTCAGGTTAACTTGCATTAATAGAATCATTACATCTAACAAACATTGCCCGCAGAAATGCTAATATATTGGAAAATTCGTTGAAATCGGTTAATTTCAGTATTGAGGTTCAATCTCGGCTCTCGGAGCACCTCTGAACCTGCCAATTAAGTAAAATTCGCAAGGTGAACATTTTTGTGCGAGTGTGGAATGCGATTAAATTTTGCCCATATGAACTAGAATGTTTCATTTTCTAAAATTTCTGTACCAGAGAAAGTTTCAATGGCGAAACTCGCGTAAAATTCTAAAACTTCTGAAGTTTGTATCCAAGCTTCGAAACGCATGAATAGTTTGGAAATTTGAAGGTTCCATTCAATCGAAAATAAATTATGCGGTTAAAATTATAGTACTATTCTATTTACCAGAAACTATTTAATGGTTCCAAATTTTAAAATTTTCAATTAGTGCATGATTTGGTGTTGGTGACGAATTGAAACATTGTCACGTGCTGCGTGTCTGCTGAAAATGGAAATGAGTTATAGAGAAAAGTTAATAAAAGTGATTAAAATTCTCGTACATTAAGACTCGCATTACGAGACTTAAAAGCAGATCCCTTAAGTTATTTTTCTTTGCTCGTATGGCGTTATGCGATTCATTGGTGAATGATCAAGCTAGAACTGTTATTCTTCATATCTGTGAAGATAATTACCTCGAACTTCTGTTCGATTTTAAGTCTGTTCTCTTTCACAACATGCAACCGAAGTTGAAGTACGCTGGAAATTCGTATGATCCAGCAGTGAAGAAATTGTTTTGCATAAATGAAAGGAATAATTAACCCATTGCAATTGGATGTGCCCATCAAGGGGAAACATCTAGCATACCATTTAGATGTTTATTATCATGGCACATCAGAACTGTATAGGGTAAACTTGATGTAGCACAACTTTCTGAAAATGCATGTTACTTTCCTGAATTTATAAAATCAAAATATGGTTTATACAGAAATTTATAATAGCAAAGGGTGTAAATGCTTTGAGGTTCAGGTGTCTGAACTAAATTCCCCCCCCCAAATGAGTTTTTTGTAGATTTGTTTAATCTCTGTAGGGTGTTGTATAGCTTGAAAAGCTAAACAAATCTTGCATAGCAGCTTAAAAGTTAACAAATGCAGTTCGTCTAAACATAGACAAATCTGGGGTAAACTTAAATCCTTAATGAATATTTCGAAATTTTAGCAAATTGGTGATCTTCACTCGTTAGGTTTGCAAGAAGGTTGCATGTAAAAGGTTAATTGTTTAGAGTAGCATTTTACTGGAAATCTCTAGAATTCTACCACTCGACCACTGAATTTTAAAGGAAGAGAAAAATGGTGATTGTAAGCCTGCTACAGCAATACCGTCAGTTAAGATTATGGAAAGCGAATTAATGGATGTACCAACATTGCAGTCTTTCGGAGGAATTGCATGCGAAGAAATCTTGGCTTGATCGTTTCAAAGTTTGCTTTTTGTTCTGCCTTGTAATTACGGGCCATTGGTACAACAGTATTAAAGTATCTTCGCAATCCATTGACTGCCTGTTATCTTCCTCAAGAACGAAAAAAATATTAAAGCTGAAGACTAGGTTTCAGGATTTGATTTTGCCAGGAAAGTTTTAGTTAATCAAATTACATGATTAAACGATTACTCTTTTATCCCTATTTATTCTAATTCCTCTATTTTTCAGTGCTCAACTGGCATTCATACAGTGTGTTACTCAAGCTGCGGAAACATGCAACAGAGAGTTATCCACGGCATTGGAGCTAAGTGTGATTAACAACAGAGTATTTTTGCAAGAGCTTTGTGTGCCTAGATCAAGTTGGTGGAGACGTGAGTATCTTGGCTTTCGAAGCTCTTAAACATTACCGGAACATCTTTAAATAAAAAACCAGTTTTTACGAATATCTTTAGCCTGCAAAATTGACTTAACTTGCCCTCTTAATCAGTATTCGAGAGGACAAGTTTGATATTTCATTTAACATGTTAAGCGCGAAGTCTGTTTTGTCTTCCTTTCTTGTGTAGCCCGCAATGTCTAATTTTAGATGCTGGCAGCCGAAGATCTTATAAATATATATTTTAAACTGTAGATTGTCTGTGAAATAGCTGAACAGTACAGTGACTGACTTGTTGTAGAAAGTAAATGTCGGTCAGACTGACATGGCGCTTAACATGTTGCGATATCCTCGTTACTGCTGCGTTTTATTTTGAAATTTATGACATTTACTGTGCATACTGTTTACATGACACCTATTCGAATTATAATGGATAAATCAATAACTTAAAACGTTAATGTTCTTCCTCATACTAGTAAGATAGATTTCTGAAATGCAGAGACAAAGCTTATGCAATTTCCAAGGATTTAATTTGCCAGCATTTCATAATCCAGACTATGAAATGTAGCAATGTTAAGTTCGCCAAGTATTTTCTGAACCTGTTGTGTTTACAAGTGTTCTCACTGCTGTAGTACTATAGTTAAGACTCCAATTCTGGATAACATGGGACAGTGAAATTTACCACTTAATGCATCAAAATTTCTTGTATCATTATTTATTAATTTGAATATCGTAATGGTACGTTTCCTGTGTAACGATATATTGGACAGATTTAATTTTTCATCCTGCTTTTAAAGAAAATGCGTTAGTGTCATCACTTACAGCTTGATATAAGTGTTTGCAGACTTAAGTAATGTTAAGTGCTGGTAACATTTTAAAGTGCGAAATATTCACTCAGCTTTTGATAGGGTTAAGACCTCTGAACACTGAGCTGAGACTCTTATTCGAATTACTGTGAGTCGCATGGATATATCTTGCTGTAGTTTTCTTAACTTGCAGTTAAAGAAGTACTCGTGATGTTTACTAGCTTCGTAGAGGATGCGTATGCATAGATTCTGAAATAAACAATTTCAAATTGGTTTTTGACCGTTTACTGTTTCAATATAAAATTATATGCAATTTTGGCTGAAATTGTTTCCACGAGGGGTTACGACCTTTAGATTCACGGGAGGTTTAGTTCATTGAAAAGTTATTGACTTTATTTCTTGGTGGAAAATGCTACTGTCTTTTGGAAGAATTCCATTTTATAAAATTTATTCGATCCTAATTTTCCAATTTGAGCACTTCTAAGAAATAGCGGCACTCTTAAGCTGTAACTTCCAATCTTAATATTAAGTGGTAATACAACTTAATATCCTCTAACAAATAGTAACTGAAGCATAAAATGTAGAAACTAACAATCGAAGTTTTGCTAAAGGTTTACTTGCGTAACAAAAGTAATGTAACAATTTCCGGAAAGTGATTATGTTAGTTTTTTCTGAACTTCTAAGTACGCAATCTTGGTTATGTATCTAAATATATTAAAAATACTCGAAAATGACTTCAGTTTGATCTTCTGAAGGTTAGATGACTATGTCCCGTCACTCTGGTCATGTCTTTTCCAAGATTCCCATTAAACGCCCCTTATAGCATATTACAACCATTTCCTTATTTTAAGGGTTATGCCAAACCTTCAGTGTTCTCCACTATCTTCAGAATGGTTCAAACGTCCAATTATGTTACCTTGCCTGGTTCATATAAACTAGAACTCTACTTACGACTGAATATTTATTAATATATTCTGTAAATTGAGTAAAACTTGATTACCGTGTTAAGTATATTAAAGTGGTAAATTTTTAATTCTACATGTTTTTATGAAGCCTTTAGATCTTGATTAACAAATGAACGTTTAAAAGCAATTTTTATCACATTCCCGATTAGGATGTATTTTATGAATATAGGATTAACGATTAAGTAATCGTAGTAAAAGTAGAAAATCGATTCTTCGATTGTTTGGTAGCTTTGATTAAAACGTCATTCTACTCGTATGTGGAATATACTTGCGAATAATTTTAATGATTATTACCTTTTTATTTTACAGGATATCTAGATAATTCACCGTGTATTAATCGACAAAACTTTAGTTCCTGTTTTGCTTCAGATTCTATCGGCTCTCTTGGGAATACGCAACAGCTTCCACTTAGATGCACGTAAGTTTCTCCTATATTGTTACCTGAATTAAAGCGGAAGCATTTTTTAGATTTAAAGAGCTTGTATTTGTCGTATGGAAACTGTTTATCTAAATGCTCTGCCAAAATACCATACCTATTTAAGTATTATTCTTAGTGATATTTCACTTCAGGTAACTGACTCGTTTTCAGTCTCCGGATTCAAATTTTAATAGGTGATGTTCTTTAAGTGTCGCTTAGTATTTCCTCGCCTTAATTTTGCTGTTGTCACAGTTAAAAAGCAGATCAATGAAATTTTCATACATTGATAGTTATCCCATTCTTGAATTACTTTTCCAAACCAATGCGATTTGAGATATTCCGAATCGCACGCCTGTGAAATGATGCAGAACGTTTCCAATAGTAAAATGTCTGGAACAAATTTCGCAATTGTCGAATACCATAGCCTTTTGCATAAAGAGTTGAACAAAGCCTTTGGTAAAGAGGCCTCATTTAATCGAGCTGTAGCATTAAACGGAATTTTTTGAAAACCAGTATTCCAGGGAAACCTCAAAGCAGAACATTATAAGATCAATACCTATACTGCATATATTGAGGGAGCTCATCCCTCGATTTATTGATATTCAATACATTAAACTTTAGCAAAACCTTGTACCTCAAGGTAAGCCTACATTTTAAGCAAAAATAGATCGGTAAATTAAACGAATTAAATAGTCCGTCCTACTACAATTTTAAATTCAGAACATCTAATTTATTAAAATTAGACTTCAGACTACAAAACAAAGATATTGTAACATAAATGACAATTTTACGTTAAATTGCTTTTAAATATTAAATGCCTCATTGCAGTTCTTACTAGTTTTAAGAAAGCTGATTGCTTCTCTGGGGTATATGAATTAACTTTTACCTTGTGCACCTTTAGAAAAATCGAACACTAGGGAATGCAAATCGGATGTCAGCCTATAAGGCATAAAATGAGATCGTTAGATTTAGAATTTTCCTCTTGAACGTAAAGGTGGTAATCTTCAAAGCGCTGTTTTTCTCTTGCCTAGAAAAACAAAATCCCGATTCGATATTTGGAAAAAAAAAATAAAAAAATTTAAAAATTAAAAAAAAAAAGAAAAGCGACAAAGGAGTAATCAACTGAGGGCCATTTTACGTTCCCACTAAAGCTCTTAAAATATAAAATTGAAACTTCAGTTCTGATTTAAAAATTTATGGAATGAGGGGTTAAAAACTGATTATTATGCAATAGAAAAATAAAACTAAACTCGTGTAATGTAATTTCTGATATGTTTATTTTGGGTGGAGGGGTAAAGTTAGATTTCAAGAATCCTATATTTTCACTCAACAGGTACTTAAAGTTGCTAATTTAGTGCTTCAAATCCTGGTCCAGAATGAGCAGTTGTTAAACTGACTTCGAGCTTTAAAATGCAGAATTATTTCCGAGTAATATTTCATGTACTGTCACTTTTTTCTTTAGAGTCCGCGATGAAGTAACTACTTGTATCTCGAATATAACTTTGGAAAACTGTGATGGCTTAGCTGCGGTCATATTCATGCGTCTCCTGGCTTTGGCTACAGACGACGATTTCATATGTTCGACTATTGGTGATCAATCTAAACTGAACACTTACTACGAAACGCAAGGTGCTGAGAACATGGCTGTAGCTGGGTATTTCTCCCAAAATAGACTGGGTCTAGTTGCACAATTTGACTTAAATACAGAATCATCAGCCACTGAACTGCCGTTGAAGAATCTAGATTTAAAAGATATTGAAGATTCAGACAGCCCTGTCTTCTACGGGCCAGTACCAGGAAAGATAACTGACGAAGATATCGATAATTTTCTACATATCGAGCATCATGTTTCGGAAGAAACTAAGACATTCAGTGAATGCATTGGTGACGATGAAACTCAATGCGAAGCCTATTTGCCTGACCTAGCAGCTCTGCCTAATTTAGATGTTGTCGTGTCGTAGACGCTCCTATAGAAAGCAAGTCTGAATGATTTATGAGGTATTGACTAGGTGGTGTAAAAATTTTTAAATGCTTCGTATTTAAGTGTGTTCCCTACTGAACTAAAATCCTTAATGTTAAGTCTTTTGTAAAACTGTACTAATAAACAATTAGCAGTTTCTGTTTTGCTACTTTATTTACATTGTAGTTTAAAACATTCAGATTATCTCGGGAATCCGAAATGTTTAAGTTCCTTTAACACTTAAAATTTTATATTTTCCGGATTGGGACTAAACAATGACATTACTATAATAAGACGTTAAACTTGGACTTTCTTTGTAAATAAAGAATCTTGTTTGCGTTACGCTTTCAATCGGGGATTAGATTTTTTACTGCAGCAACTAGGTTACACGATTTTGTAACAATACCCAATTTTTACATTGCTGTGAAATATCTCTAGTTCTTGTCAAGGCAGTGAAGACAGCTAGAGTTACTGTGGACATGAATGCAACAATTTAAGATTACAAAGGTGTTAAGGATTTAAAAGCAGAATTTTTTAAAGCCAGGATAAATGGATATAAACGCAACAGTGTCTATGAATGCAGATTGTGTTAAAATGGCGGACTAATAGCAATCATGTTTTGATCCGTCCTAGAAGTTCAACACCGGTTAACATTTTCCCTTAAGAACTATTAATAGGAAAGAATACCCCATTACTTTGGGTGCTATACTTACTGCACATACCAATATCTTGGACAATCGTCATTCCATTTTTAAATTTATTCCATGGCTTTAAATTTTGCGTAGATTTCAATTAAGAAATGTTCATAAAGGGACGAGTGAAAAATTTTTAATTTCAAATGTTTAAAATTAACTAGGGTTTTATATTATGTGAAATTCAATTGCTCAAGCTATGGCAAATAGAAATATTAGTCAAACAGACATCCTAATCTGGGAAATGAAAATCTAACATTTTAAGACTTGGGCTACATGGTGAAGGAAGAAAAGGAAGATATAATACTCAGCTTCACAAGTATGCGTTTTGGAAAACTGAAGAGAAAAGGCATGTAAAGTAAAACTGTGAAAAGCTCAATACTTCTCGTTCGGAGTTGAACATTGCATTTGTCGCAGTATCTGAAATGAAGGTCTATTGGGAAGCAACATGGTCCCAGAAACGATAAAGATGGGTTTAGAAAATGCATCTGACTATAAAAGTCTAGAGTCGTTAGTAGGCACAGACTCTCGATGGAAAAAGTAATTATTTGACATATGTGAAACTTCTATAAAGATTATCAGCTTTTGAAACAGCTCACGCTTCCATGTATTTTGAAAATTACACCGAACAAAGTATGGCTTATTTCTTCCATAAAGATTATCAGCTTTCGAAACGAAGTTAGCTCACGCTTTCATATATTTTGAAAACTACACCGACCGAAGTATGGCTTATATCTTGATTCAATTATACGCTGTAAGAACAGCCAATTTTATTAACTACGTACCCAGGGAACAGCGGTACCTACAGGTAACTGAGATTATGTTAAATAACTAAGAAATGTATTTTAAAAGCTTTGAAGAAAGAGCGTAAGTTCAATGCGATATTTCCTAGTTAATTTCAGATACTGGAGGTACATAAAGAACTTTCGAAGAAGGTTTGGTTCATTCGCTGAAGGCAAAATACACTAAGGCTATCTGTTTAAGGAAGGGGGTGCTTTTGTGAAGGTCTTGAAGAGAACTGGCTCGTATTCGCTTACACATGGGGGGGGGAAACGTGAAAGCGTCCTGCGCCATTATGTTCCTCTAGAATCGAATGCAGGTCGAACTATTAGTGCTCAGTGACTTTAGCGGTCAGCCGTTGGGAAGGAACTAGGAAGGAATGAATCCAATTTGTATTAAAACCAACATTTACAAGCGAATGGAACTGTGGGAGAATGTTTTCAAAGAATGCTAAATGAAAGATTTGGTAAATTTTTACGTATCCTTGAGTCGGATGAGCCATATTGTGTCCTTATATTTGTTTAGAACACTTCTTTGAAATCATAAAACTTCCCGTTTCCGATGTGTCATCTATAGGTCTTCCTAAATTACATTACGAAGAAAATCGTGTTATTGCATTGAACTTTTCCTAATTTTTAACAAGGTTGGGAAAATATGAAGCGACTATAAACACCTGAAAGGATGTCTTACGAACAGTGATAATCGAAACATTTCTTGAAATTTATGGCATCTTTGCATTTTCGTAATTTAAACTTTTCTTGAAAATACGCTGAAATTATGACTAAGACAATGTACACAGTATTCGATTACGATTAAACTGAAAGAGGGTATTGTAAGCATTTACATGAAAGGCGAGAAATGTTTTGAAGGGGTAACAGATGTTTGCAAATGAACCTTTTTATTTTTTAATTCCATGTAAATGATTACAGCATATTAAAAGAAAACACAATAATATATACAGTTCATTATGCATAATGTATGCATAATGAATGTGCACAATGTATGCATAAAATTACTTTTTCTAGTAAAATTTAATCTAATTTTGAACAAACGTCTGTCTCCTCTGTAGCAGTTCAGTGCATTTATATATTTTGGTGAATCTTCATGCTTTCAAGATTTAAAATGAACTTTTAGGTTTTTCTAACTTTCAGGCTAAGTCAAAGTTAAGGGGCAAGTATGACTAATGAGCCTTAAAAAAATTTCAACTTCATAATGAGAAACTGAACAAACGTATCTTATGAACGGAAAATTGAATCCCATAACTATATATGAGAACCAGTTGTAAATGTTTAAAATGTAAGTTAAGACGTTGATTCTCTTAACCAAGAAGAGTCGATTCGACTGGTAATTTCCTATATCTTCCAAATCATGAAGTAATATCTACTGTACATCCTCTGAAAGGCCCTAGCAGTGGCCGAGCGGTTAGGATCGCTGAATACTGGTAGTTCGACTTTAGTTCATTGTTGGTTTTCATGTTTTTTCCTGTAACGTGAGTTTAAGCCACTTCTCCATGAGCGTGTCTCTTGCTCTTGTATTTTGAAGTATTCAAATAATTTAACCACATATCCTTTGGAAGATGCCTGACATGAATTACTGCATGCATTGGGGGATATATCAAAATTTTTCAAAATCGTCAATCAAGACTATGTATGTTATGCCTTAAGCTCAAACGCACTCGTAAAATGAAAAGTAAGTGATTTTATACCCGTTCCGGTTATAATAAAGCACTGCAAGCAGTGGCATCACTGCCATCTTAAAAAGCAGAACCCTGCTGATGGATCAATAATTTTCATTACTCTATGCACTGAGTGCCCCTTGGAACTTTCAAACTAAAAGAGCTACTGATAGTGCGAGCTCTTTAGGTGTCTGTGCTAATTTGCATAGTTGAACAGAAATTGATAAGTTTACTAATTATTTACTCTTAGAGACAAGATCTCTTGCGTACAAATCGCAATAAAGGTAGACGACCCCGAGAGATGAAATGAAAAGTAAATCAGAACGGCAATAATACAGATGTATTTTTAAATATACATTAATATAAAAATTGTTCTATCCAATGTACTGCGCAGAGACCATGAGTTGGGCAGCGAGAAATAGTTAAAATAGTTTGTCGCTAATAGGAATCGGATATGCTGTCTTCTGATACTCAGCTTGATCAGTATCCAACAAAAGCTGATACATGAAAGAGAAGAAAGCCTTTCATTCCTTATATTCTTCCACCTAAATGCGATTCGGGAAATATATAATGACCTTCCGTCCCACCTCAGTTGCCAATCCAAAGTTGGTGGCTTTTTGTTATTCACCATTTTTGCTCGCATTTTAGGTGTGAAGAATTTGGAAACCAGGAGTAGTTAAAAACAAACTGTGTTCTTTTCCTGAGTCGAATATTATATATTAAAATTACAGTTCGAAGTGCTGAACTGGTTATCCAAAATCAGCACAGACAAAATTTATATGAACTGTTCTTATAAAATTCGAGAACATTTTTAGATGATAGGACATGTTTTGGGGCACTGTACTGAAATGCAAGACTGTCCGCCATAACCCGGATTGTTTGGTCATTTTATCTTAAGCTCCTTCCTGTACCACCAACTATACCGAAATGAAAAAAAAAAATCACTAATTAAATATTTTGTAAGTACTTCATAGGAGAATATGACTGCAGAAACAGTCTCCATAAGTGTGAAGGAGTTTTGTGCACCAGCTTTGTTGCATTTGGAGGAGCAGAATTACTTGTTTTACAGGATGTTGCATGGAATTCCAGTTGTTTTCGATAACACTGCGATTTGTTGACTTAAATGGCTATAGCAAGACTTCAATAGTTTCAATTGAATTCTCTTACATTCATACTTTGGCGTCCCTAAATGTGTATGGTTGCAGACTTCTCCTTTGAAAGAGGCCAGACCCAACATAATAACGTAATTTCTCTACTTAGAGCTGAGTTGGACGGCATATTCGTGCGGTATTATTCTTTATGATATTTAAGGCTAATTTAAAAGAGGTTTTGAACAAATGCAAGCCAACAATACTGCAGGATCTCAAAGAATGATGACCCAGAAGATATTGCATTGTGTTATGGAAAGCTTCAGAGCACGATTTCAACAACTAATACACTATAATAGAGACCATATAAAAGACATTATTTCTGTGGACGCAGAAAACAGTCTGAGGCATAAGCAATACACAAAATGTCCAAACTGTTTACACGAGTAACAAGTTTATTTGTAAAAAATGTTTTCACTCTATTTAGGTTTGACACCAACAACATTTTTGTCTAACTCTAATAATATATTTTTTGATATTAAGACGAAACTTTACTCCAAAACTCCATCAATTACGTCCTATTCAACTTCCAGTTTTTATCTTGAGAGCGTTGCCCGAGCGTCCTTCCTTTTGTGCCTCTAGATGCACAGGTAATTTTGCTACTTCAGGCAGACTTGTGATAGCAAACATTTATGTAAGCCTTTGAATGTCTTACTTGCGATTCGAGATTTATTAGCTAGGCAGTCATGCATTTTCACCATTACAGCAGCAGGAAAACGTAACAGCTTGTTTTGTTTAATAATCAATCAAAACGCTTTATTAAGTACGAGTATTTCTAAAATGGAAAAGAATTTTGATATTATTTATTCCGTTATTTTTACCTGTCTGGAAAACAAAACTGATTGCAGAAGGAGTATGATCAGGAAGCTTGTATTTAAACGAGATTTTCTGGGAAGATTTTATATATGTAACCAAATGATATTTGTAGTTATTTTATCATTAATATGAAATAATTTTTCATTTATCATTACTTAATTAAATATCAACCATATGCAAAAAATTTAGTTTCAAAGATTAATTTTCATTAATTGTATATATGTTAAATGAAAGTGCACACATACTGATTTCACAAATATAAAAACTTAATAGGTTTGTGCAGATTTACAGTCAAGAAGTCACTTAAAGACGTGAATCTAATTCTCAGCTGTAACATTTCCAATATGATATGCAAAATGTTATAAATGAGACCGGAAATAAAATCCTGGAAATGAAGTCTAAACGTTTAGGTAGGTATGGGGCTTTCTTCTTTCTCGGCTTTCAGCGCCCATGCGTTTTTCATGGACCACTTTCCATTGGCTTTCAGCAACACCTGTCGAGAGAGAATTCATCAGCCTTAGAAATATACTTAGTTAATATACTTTTTATATAATATATTATAATATTATATATATATATATATTAACAAGCAAGGTAGTTAATACCCAATATATATATAAAAAAAAAATCTGGGTACTATTCCATTTTGAGGAGCGTAAAAAAACTGCAGCGAAAATGTATGCGCAATAGCGCCAAATCTAGCAAACGCGCCCATTTAACAGCGCGCCAAATCTAGCATACGCGCTGATTTTAAATTGCATAAGTTTAGATAGTTCTATATTTCTTAAGACGCCATTGAAATACTAGTTTTATTTTTAAATCCTTTTTTGATTTTAAATCCTTTTTTGACATCCTATGGATTTAAAAATTTGGGAATTGCCCATGACGAAAAGTCTGAAATAGAATTTTTCCAAAGAAAAGGCAACATTCATTACAGAAAATTATGTTTGAACACCCAATGATATGAAATTATGTTTTAGCGATAACTCTGTATCGAAATAGCGATGCAGGAATCTATTCAGTTATGTTTAGCCTTTTTTTATATATAAATTATAATAATGATCTGAAATAGTTATTTACTCTCATGCTTCCATTCAGTTATGTTTAGCCTTTTTTATATAAATTATAATAATAAAAACGTATTATACGAAACTAACCTTTCATCGAAATTAAAACAATAATCTTAGATAGTTATTTACTATTATACTTCCTTTCTTGCGTTAGGGTTACCGCAATTATTTTTGGCAGCACTGGCATCAACAATAGTTTGTCGATTTTTTACGGTTCTCAAAACGGAATAGTACCAAATTTGGTAAGCTTTTAGGTTTTATATTACGCCTAAAAGGGGCGTTTTTTAAAGCTTTCTTTGTGTTTCTTTTATTTATTAAATATGTTCTTCGCACTCAAACCCTAAAATTCAATTCAACAGCAATATCGCAAAATCATTTTAAAATGAGCATTTATTTAGAATTTTCGATACAGTCTCGCGCGCTTCAGATAAAAATGTTCTTTTCCCCCTACAGTATTGCTATTGTTTGTTTGAAATCATTGAGGTTCTTAATGAAAAACTCATAAATGCTTTACAAAATATGAAATAGATAATAAAAAAAATTCAGATTCCAAATTTGGGCTTCCAGATGCCCATATTCAGGTGGAGACGTACGTTATTCAAAATTTGATGGCTCTCGGTACCGTTGTTTTATCCCAATGCAAGAAATATACATACATCTATGCAGATTCTTCATTATTTCATCTCTTTAAATATAATACAGGGCTCTAATATTTGGTGGCAACAATTTAAAAAGTGATTCGTCGTTTATAGTGAATCGACGCAAAACGCCAAAATGAAATTAATAGTCCTTCTGAGCAAATTGTCTCTTTGGAGTAAAAACTATTACTTATCGCAACTTAAAAGACTTCAGCTATGCAAATTAAAAGGTTCACCAGCCTAAACTAAACGGTTTCAGCATTTTGTTTAAATAATACTTAAAATTCTTCAAACGATCTATGTAAATCAAAAAAGGAAAGAATGCTTTGTTTGGTCAAATCACAAATTAGTTTTTGTCTCTCATCTACTGACATATTGTTTTGAAATATTTCATACATATATATTAGTTAGGACAATAGAAAACTAATAGGGAATATTTTTGAAAGTTCTATGAAGATTTTTTTCATTTATTGTTGAATTTATTTCGCACATTGTTGCTTAATATGCAAACAAATTATGGGAGGATTTCGATCCTTACATCAGCAGTTGGATGAAGAGAACTTTCTAAATGAAACCGGCTTCTATTCATATTACACGTTGGGAAAGATACAGCAAATAATAATGCAGCCAGCCCATTAGCCTGGGACCAAACCTGGCATTTAGCATTCTTAACTACTCGACCACTGGTTGGGCGAATTTCTAAAGTAATTAATGAAGCATGAAGAACAATTATACATTTTTAATCAAGTTTGTCCGATTTAAAATTTTAGCTACTTTTTAAAAAACTATTCCTTTTGTTTGTTTGCTAATAATAACGAAATTTATATAGATAAAAGTCTTAAGAAAATCCCTATATTGCTTAAAAAAATGAGGTAGTGGTTAATGATATTGACTGCCAACCGAAGGGTTCAGGTTCAAATCCCGGAGTCACACTAGTGGCCGAGAGGTAAAGTCGCTTAACACTGGTAGTTTAACCGGGGTACGAATCTCGGTGAACGGACTGGCTGTATGGGCAATTTCATAGTTTTCCCCATGTACGAGCCAGTCTCACTTAATACCGGATCTAAAATATAACCGGATCAAAGAGCACAGGTATTGTCTTATTAGATCAGATTCTAAGAAAGGGAGATTAATAAGTCTGCGATTATTGAAGAAATTGCCAATTATGATTTTCTTATATTTCAAAAGCTCCTGTGTAACAACACAATGAAATATGGTCAATTTTCTTGCTCCTGTCGCCGTACTTATATGCACTTAGAATAAATGTTTGCAGAACGCTGATTTGCGTGGCTGTACGTATATGCACCTACAAGAAATCGTTGTCGAACGCTGATTTGCGGAACGCTATTTTGTATATATGCAGTACATTAATTTTCTATTTAGTTTGTTAACGTTAGTTGAATAACCTGCACTTGAGATTATGATATAGATATATCAAAGTACCGCGTTGAGCTACTAAGATAGCACCGTTATAGCAATTGGTATCCACCGAAAATATCACCGCGAAAACGCGAACGAAAACGTCGCGGAGAAAACAACGAAGGCGAAAACGTCGCATTTCTAAAAAATCTTGGTACAAAATGTCATGGTCGAAAATATATGTCATGGTTCATAAACTTCGCTGATTAAAAACATTGTTGTCGAAAATATTTTGATAAAAAAATGAGCACCTACAAATCATCGCATGACGATAACATCACAGAGATGCGTTATTCATGATTTAAAGTTGTAAATGCATATTCGAATAATGATTTGTGAGATGAGGAAGGAATGATAAATATTTTTAATTATGTTTCATATTTTGAATTAAATAACAAATTTTTGCTCAAGAAATAAGGACTTTCAAAAACTAAAAATGAGTCGAAAAATAATACTAGTTATAATAGTTAATAGAATTTTAAGCTGATCTAGTTAGCTAATTAAAGGTCATTAATAGTTTCTGAATGCTTAAGTTTCCTTCCTAATTTTTCAGCAAAAATTTTTCAGTTAAATCAATAAACACAAAAAAAAAAAAAAAAAAAAAAAATCCTCCTTCCTGCTTGCGCTTGCAAATCATTGTGCAAATATACATTTACAACTTTTAAACCCTGAAAAACACATGTCTGTCTTGACAAGTCTGATCAATAAGATCAACAATATCAAAAGATTCTACAGAATTTCTAGAACTACATTCAACAATTCATGCATTCACTTCAGATAATTTAGATTTCAAGTTTTAATTTTACTGTAAGTAAACATTTTAAAGCATTATATAAACAATTTTAAATTATTTTGACAAATTTCATATTAAGTACAGCAAGTAACCAGAATGTTCAGTGAAATAAAATAACTTCAGATAATTTAACTTCAGATAAGTTCAGAGTCACTTGTAATTTAGATCTACATCATCTCATATGCCTACCATGGGAAGTTCTGATTCAGGACGGCTATGGAACCGATAGCTTTTTCTCATAGATGTTCTACTAAGAGCGATGACCACTGCAAATTCCAAAAGACTGAAGAAAACGAAAGCGATGCAGCAAGACAGCCATACATTCAGAGCGACAATGTACGACACATTTGGCATTTGGGCTTGGTATTGCTTTGTGATAATGGTCAACAAGCTTGTTACGCCCAGTGTTACTCTAGCCGGAACTGCGTCGGGTGGAATCCAAAAAGTCAGCATGGACATGATGACAATAAGAACGGTTTGGATATAAACGTTGATGAGGTAATAGCCACTTCTTCGACGAAGATGTATCGTTTCTTCCAAACAGGAAAGATTATCTAAATGTGAAAGCAATATATTTCTGTAATAGTTGAGAATAATTTTAATCTAGAACAATTTTATTTAATGCTTTTGATGTTAAAAACATTTAAAGTTCTAGTCTTTCAGTTTCTTGAATATTGTTACATTAGTCTATCGAAATAATTGAACTGGTCTAACAATTTCTGGTGATTGTGTATTTCTTCCCAGTTATGTCTTTAATTTATCTAGTCATAGAGATACATTATATTATACATGAAACAGACTGAGAGATTTAAGATAAAAAACAACTAAATTGCACTTCTAATAGTTTTTAACTTTGGCGTTCAAAACGTCCTTAATGAAATCCTTCTAAAATTTTAGAATCGTTGCATCACTTTCTTTATTTTACTTTATGTTATGCTGCTTTTATGTGTATTTACCATCTGCGCTACTTGGTGACTATTATTTAGTAGGAAATCGTTAATTTATCTTCCACGTTATGTGATAAATGAAAAATCTCGGAGGCGATGTTAACTGATGTGATTTCCTTTCACTTTATAAGTGTACTAAAAGAAACTAAATAATTAAAGAGCAATAAGCGGACCTGTAAAAATAATTTCAGCTTTTTAATTTTTAATAATCTGTTTATTTCATATGAATTAAAATACATGTCATTTGTAATTTATTCACTTTTCTGGAGTAATCATTCTGGTCTTTTAGTGGTTTTCATCACATAACTATTATATTTACAAAATTGTATGTATGGATAATATCAAATGTAATGTAACTTAATATCTAATGCAGTAGCTTGATACTCGCAACTATTCGGTACTACAATGGAACGAATCTATAATTTATAATGTATTCTACTGACAATTTTTTATATGATATAATTTTGTTGCACTATTTGAATTAATAAAGGTATTTCATCATCATACATTACGTACTTTCGTACATAATTTTAGTCGTATCAAAGTATAGAACTTGCTTTTTATATCAGTTCTCTGATATAAAAAGCAAGTTACAGTCATTAATTTTTGCTCTAAAACTTGAATTCAAGAATGGAGTAAGACAGGGAGTGCACTAGTAAATATTATGTTTAATAGTACACTCAAAAATGTTATTAGAGATACTAGGATCAATACTAGAGGAAATATTACATTTAATAAATTTTAATAAGAGTATTCAATTACTGGCTTGTACAGTTGATATTTGAATTGTTGTCAGTACAGTTCCTGCTCTTAAATAGACATTCTTAGCATTAGGAAAAGTGCAAAAAAGATTGAACATTTCTGTTAACGAAAATAAAACTAAATATATGTATTGTTTAGAATATGACTTACCACTTGGTCATTTAGGAATCAGTAGCTATAGATTTGAGAAAGTCTACGGTTTCACTTATTTGGGAGTGGTGATGAATTGTAAAAATGAAATAACTTCTGAAATGCTTAGAAGAATCTCTGCTGCAAATAGATATTTTTATGGCCTGAGGAGCTGTTTAAAATACAGATTTATTAAGTTAAGAGCCAAGTTAATTCTTTACCAAGAGTCTCACAAGATCTGTCCTGACTTATGCGTCGGAAGCTTGGGCGCTGATTTTACGTGATGAGAAAGCTTTGGGGATTTTTACGAGTAAGGATATTGCGTTGCATACTTGGTGGAGTCTGCGTGAAGGGATCATGGAGAAGATCTAATTTAGAGTTATACAAGATCAATGGACAACCTGATGTAGCAAAATTATTCAAACTACTGAGACTTAAATGGGCTGGTCATCTGGCCAGACTGCATGAAAATCGGTGTTGTAAGAAAATCTTTCTGGTAAAGCCTATGGGAACCAGACCTCGGGGTAGGCCCAACACCTTCTTAAACACAAGCCTCCCTACTGAAGGCTCGTAGTTTAGTGACGTCACAAACTGTTGGCCTTCTCGATGGGGTGCGAAAAATCGCCCCTAAACCAAGGCCATCTATAGAAAGTTAGGGGAATTCGTCTTTGGTCGTGAGAAGGCGCGTAAACCATGTCGCCTTAATTTGATATTGATATTTTTTTTCGATTTCAATCATGCCTTTAAAGTGCTGTGTGCCGTTATGCCGAGAAAATTATTGTGGCGGTTCTAAAGTATCAGTATATAGATTTCCTAAGCAACAAGATGTATTACATAGATGGTTAAAATCAATACCGCGAGAAAATTTTACCATTTCGAAGTATTCTCGGGTAAGTTAAGCCTAACTTGAAATTTAAATTTATTAAATTTCAAGTTATTTGCCTCTACATTTAAAAGAATGGATACGTTAATATTAAGGAATTTCATTTTTATAGAATACATTGTGTATAATATTGTGTAATTACGTATCGATTAACCGAATTGTATGGATAATAATTATGTATCGAATTGTATGGTTAATAATTATGTATCGAACGCGGGCTAAATATTCACTTACTTTTTAAAATGTCCAATTTTTTACTTTTTGATTAATTTTATAACTTGGAACTTTTAACTTCATACGTATATGGCAGCAAATGAAATTATTTAGCTTAATATTTAATATATTTTGGTTTTAAAAGTTTTTCTAAAGAAACTGTGAAGGCAATAAATATGCTTATGGTTTTTTAAATTGTAATATAAAGTGCACAGTTTTGCGTAAAACAAGAAATAATTTAAATTCCTAATGCATGAAAATTCAAATATTATTAAAACTTATGTCACTAAGAATCCTTTTCTTCCCCCCCCTTTCCGAGTGGGAGACAAACACACATATGCTTGCTATTACCTGTTTTGTTAAAATATTAATTGCATTACTAGAAATCCTGCTTTTATTACTTTAAAATTAGTAATTAGGTAATTATAGTAATCTGAGTGAGCTTTCATCATGTCTAAAAAATGTTAAGATACCTGATGATTTAAACAGTTGTGATTAAAGAAAATAGTATATTTTTTCTCCAGATAAGCACAGAATTTGCTCCTTTTATATCTGCATCAGTCGTTATCCATGATGATCTGCAAGTGGAAGCATATTTTAGAGATATTCCATTAACAAAAATTAGTAACCATGAATATTCCCTTTAAAAATTAATGATGTGCATAATCTCTGTTCATTGCTTAAAGAAGTTGCAAAAATTAAAGGTGATAATAATGAAAACAGCTTTAAAAATTTATTATTCGTAACTCAAGGCCTTCGGGAATTAGAAAAAAATGCCCCTGAACATAAAAAGAAAGTAGTTCAGTTTATATTTGCATATTTTGAGCAGTTCTGGTATCAAGTTTGATGTTTTCAATTTCTCCACATTGCTATAAATTTTTAAGAAATAGTGCATATGTTTACTTTGCCACATCCTTCTACATTGAAAAGATTGTATTCTGAATATAATGTTGATCCTAAAGTGGAGCAAACTCCTGAAAATTTCCTGAATTATGCTAAGGAAAAAATTCCGCTTTTTAGACGAAAACGATAATATGTCACTTTAATGGTTGACGAAATTCACATTAAGCCATTCTTAGATTTCAAAGGTGAAAATATAATAGGAATGTAGCAAAATATAATTGTGAAAACGCTGCTAATTCTGCTTGTGTTTTTATGCTGCAGAGTATTAGATCTTCATATAAGGATGTTATAAGTATTGTCCCAGTAAAATCATTATCAGCGCAATTTTTGCATGGATATATTGTGAAAATAATAAAAGGTTTAGAAAATTTAGGTTTTTCGTGTAATATGTGTGCTTATAAATCTACCCTGCTAAAATTTAAAAACTTCTAATATCCTTAAAAATATTTCCACACATCCTTCTTATATATTTTTTATGCAGTTAAGTGACTTGAATATTATTAGTATGGAGGGAGATTCCAACATTACCTTACTGTTACTTATCAAAAGTCAACCAGTACTTTAAAGCATTATTTTAACTGTAAACACGCCATATAAGATCATAGAAAAATTAATAATATATAATATATTTTGTGCAAAGGAAAATGTTTCCAATATTATATCCGCGAATGAATTGAAAATATATATTTTCAATATATATAAAGTAAAAAACGAAAAATAATATGTATCTACATCATTAGAAAATACCCTCCTGTTAGTAAAGCTTTAAAAACAAATATACTTTAAAGGCAGATAGTAGGTGACCAACGGCGATTGTCAGCTGCCAGTTTGTGACGTCACGATCTCGTAGTTCGGCTTCTGTTTAAGAAGGTGTTGGTAGACCCCGGTGAGATGGATGGATTGTGTTGAAAATGGCATAAAGATTCCGCAGGTCAAAAACTGGAAAACAGCTGCCAGAAGGTCAAAAACTGGAAACAGCTGCCAGGGCACATCTTTAGCTGTCGCGCCAATGAAGAAGAATGTTTGCTGTGCATTGTCATATCTTTCAATAAATTACGAATTCTTTCCTGCTAACCGGAAGTGATTATTTAAACAGATATCCATGAAACGGTAACTCGTAACAGTATCTTTCAAGCTTTAATTCTATTATTACTTAATAAAGGATCTGCATGTATAGCAGGATAATTCTGATGTTTTACAGATACAACTAATTGATATAAGTTAAATTTACCAACTAAGCGTGTTAAAAACAGTTTCCTCCCCCTAAAATGCATTTTTGTAGACGAATTTTCCAAAGATTAAATGCTTCAAACTATTCATTTCTAGGAATTGATGAAATATATGCTTTTATAGCTTCGTCAGTCTAAACTTTGCAAAGAAAACGATGGCCATGCAAATTTTATTTTAGATTAAAAAATAACTATAGATCAAGCATAGCAAGGTCATTAAAATGGGGTGGATATTTTATCACTTTGATTCCGAGTCATTAAATGAGACGGTGTAATATATGATGTATAACTTAATAACCTTGTAGAGACTTCTGCCATTTATAAAGCTGCACTCAAAACAAATTTACTTGGGTTAATAAGCAATACAATATTGCCCATTAATACCCTGTCCCAATGCAGTTTTGGTGACCAAACCTAATGTGTTATCCTTCGTGTGAATCACTCAAAAATATGCCCCCTCATGTCATTAAATAAAGTACGACGTCCATAATTTTGAATAATGCAGTTCCAATCCGAATAAATATGGAGGGGAAAATATGAATCTCCATAAACTAAATTTTATATCGAATTGATGTGTGAAACTTTAAATGAATGGATTTACAACTCAAAAGACTATTTAGACTTCGTCACAGAACTTTTGAAATGCACATAATTTTAAACATAATTAAATAGCTGCAATAATATTAAAACATTTAGATAAATATACTAATAGATTACGACTTAAAATAAGTATTATGAATTAAATCAAAGTTGACAATTAATATTTGGAACATTTGTAATAATTTCTACAAGGAATGTTATTAACAAGCTTTAATAATTGGATCCTACTAATAGGTTAAAATGTAGTATGGGAAAAAATCAGGATTACCAATAAATAAAAAACACGTGCTTTAATAAAAAAAACTTTCCTCCAGATTCCCCCAATTTTGTATCTGATGACAGAAGACGTAATTTATTACTTGAATTTTCTTAAACTCCCCCCACTCTTGGTATTGCATAAGATGAAATATGCACAAAAATGTTTTGTAATTCTTAGATATTTATCTCTAAAACTATGCAAATTTTTTAAATGAGTTATATTTGAAATATAACAGGATTACAATAACATACATTATTTATGGAATAAAAACTATATGATTATTTTACTATATTAAATATAGTAGATTTGACTAGAAAGAAAAGACGCCATTTTATTATTGTTAGGATTGTGTGAAATTGGAGAAAAGTTTGTTTGTTATATTAGGATGAAAAGGCGTATAATCTTAATATTCCATAGGATGTTTACACTTCCTGGAGAACTTTGGGGGAATTGCATGTGCTTGAGTGAATGTAAAACCATTATTATTGGGTGAAGAATGAATGCTTTTATGTCACTGACAGGATAACTTTAAAAATCTGGGGGGTTCGACAGAAAATAAATTTTATATTGCTGGGAAAAATTTCAGTTTTCCCAAGACCAAAACTGATATTCCTGTTCCTTCGCTTGAAGCAAAGCATAATAATTTTAAAATCCTATTTTTTTTAAATTTGATAGGATTTATTGGAACATTTCTGACAGCAATAGGTAATGGATATTTGTATTGGACGTAAACCAATTGTTGTTAAATTTAGAAGTATTGCCATTCTTAATTTCTTAATTGTTCTCCATTCGTTCTCTGTATAAAATTTACATCTCTCTCTGCTCGGTTTGAATTGCCCACATTCATCAACAAGGGTTTCTTCTGTTTGAGTATTAATTATTGTCTGTTTACTGTTTCGTGAAGAAGTGTAGATGTCTGCCCGATTTTATTGCTATTCGGTTTATTACATAGTTGATGAATATAGAACTATGGCTTGGAGTACTATTAGCATCAATAGATTAAGTATTTCTAGTACAAGGCGTGATCAAATGAAAAGGATCAAACGAAACGACGTAAAGACGTAACAGTTACATATTTGCATATTCCGCCATGGAAGAACATAGCGAGCACTCGGGATCGATGAGGCCTGACTGGATCGGAGCAGCATGCGGGCGCCCGCCATGCGCAGGAGAGAGCAGAGGATCTTATCAAAGCGGCGTCCAAATGACGTATGTGACAGGATGGCGTCGCGTTGCAAAATTCGACGACTGAGGCAGCAATATGTTATCCGATTTCTGACAGCGGAAGGTGGTAGAAACCAGCGCTATTCATCCGCGATGATGACAGTTTACGGGGAATGTGTCTCTAATAATCTGTCAGAAAATGGAATGTCCGTTTTCGTGCAGTACGTGAAGTTGGGCGATGACCCAGACCAGGCCAGGCAAACACTATCATCACGAGCGATCTCATCGACAAGTGGACCTAGTGAGAAGGTGCGGCGGTCACATTGCGGATGTTGGTGGTGAAGGTGGATGTCAGGTATGGGAACTGTGTGGACAATTGTTCACGACAGTTGCGATATCGGAAGTGTTGTGCCGGTTGAGTTCCGAAGCAGCTCACCGACCAGCAAAAGGGAACTGCGTATGGGGTCTCCACTGCTGACATCTGTTTCGGGAGTACAAGGAAGACCCACTTTTCATGGAGCGATCATCAAGGTGATGAGACCTGGTACCATCACTACGAGCCAGAGACAAAGCGGGACAGCATGCAGTGGAAGCATGTGTCGTCACCTCCCCCTAAAAAGTTCAAAGCCATGCCGTCAGCAGGCAAGGCGTTGCTCACCGTCTTTTTCGACGTTCAAGGTCCGTTAGTTGTGGAATTCCTCGAGCACAGAAAAACCATTAACTCCGATGTGTACTGTGAGACACTCCGACGCCTACGCAGGCCCATCAAGAGCAAAAGACCGGGGTTGCTCACGGAAGGTGTGGTTCTGCTCCATGATAACGCGCGTCCAGACGTCTCCAGTGTCACACACGTGGAACTGGCCAAGTTCAAGTGGGAGACGTTGGACCATTCGCCCTACAGTCCAGACATGCCGCCCTGCGATTTCCATGTGTTTGGTCCACTGAAGAAACACCTGAAAGGGAAGCGCTTCAACTCGGACGACGTACTGAAGGACGCTGTGAAGGACTGGGTCTCGTCACGGCCACAGGAATTCTGGGAATAAGGAATCCTGAGGCTTGTTCATCAGTGGGATCGTTGTGCTCAGGCCTATGGTGTATATTTTGAAGTCTACATTTATACTCACCGTGTCGTTTCGTACCTTTTCATTTGACCACCCGTTGTATATTAACGACATACCAATGCTTTGATAAGATGCTGATGATTACCTTGCTAATGTATCCCGAAGAGGGCTTGGATGCTTGCTGATGTATAGTGTCTTTGAAGTATAAGGTCACTTAAAATGCACGGCGAGCTGAAAGTCCTCTCAAATAGTTTCATAACAGAAAGATGAGTGGAAACGTCTTGAACCCATTTCCTTGGGGATTCTTTTTCAAAACTAGGATGGAATTCGGAAAAGTCATACTGTCGCCTGTAAGGTTATGCTCACGCCACTGACAGACGCAATCCTAAGTTCCTCATCATGTTAAAATTCTTGGACGTGTTCTGATCTTACTGTCAAACAAGTCATAACAACAATAATAATTTAGCTTTAAGGTATATCAAACGCCACAGCATTATAGTAAGATAACGCACAGCCACACACAGATAATAGCAGCATACAATCCTTGCAACATACTCAATCGTTTCTGGGAAGAAAAACTTCAAATGTGTCCACTTAAGAATTTGTAGACATTGCTTGCTGAAAAGTAAATGCTTCTGCAAGACACTTACTAAGTAAAAGTTAAATAAAGTTGCAACTTAGAGCCTAATTAATGTAATATAATGGATAATTTAATTAAATAGAAATCGAAGGGCACTTCAAACCCCGAGTACGTCCAACTGCTGGATGTATCGTGAAATATACTTATTGAATCAGTCTATATCCTGCATGTTTGTGACATTGAAATAATATAGAAATTAAAAAATTGAAATACTTGTAAACAATGAAAATCATACGTAAAGTGTTATCCTAATTCATAACAAAATGTTTATATATGGTATGATAATAAAATTATTCCGGTCATTTATAAGTTACTGTGAAAAAATATGCATTTTGTTAGTTTTGAAATTCATCTAAAACCCTAGTTCTTTTATCACATTCCTGGAAAAAAAAAGGCAGTTTTTTAAAATGTTTTTGAAAACAAAGTTGTTGCAAGAGATATGGAAATGTATATGGGTATTTGTAGTTATGTATTAGAAATTATTAACATACCTGAAGCCATTTGTATTCCACAAAACTGTTCGTCATGGGGAAAGTAAACAAGATCCATTTCGCATATCAACTTTAATACAACTCTGAAATGTACAAAAACAAAGAATTGATACAGCCTTTTTTAAGTTAACACAATTCTAAGAGTAAGAGGGAAAGAATTATGCATATTAAAAAATAATTGCGATTTTAATTTAATTCACATTAAAGTAAGTAAAAGTAATGAAAGAAAATGAAAAAAATAATATACCGTTTTCAACAATTATCTCTATTTTAATTTCAAAGAATATTAATGACAAATTTAAAAAGATAAGTAATTCTAATTTTAAAATGATCTCATTTCATTAGTGCCGAATCCTTTTCAATAAAAAGTTTCAGGAATTATTAAATAAATAATTTTGAAACTTGAAAAATACTTTTTAGCCAGCCATGCAAATAATAGGAAAAGCACAGCTGGTAAGCACGCAAAAAAACGGGTGCTCGAAAATATATATGCATCAGGTATATGATCATCATTTGAGTTAATTCGTATTCTTTATGTGGTAGCGTTGTTTACATTAACTGATAGAAAAGTTCCAAAGTCCCATCCGATGGCAGCATAAGCTACTAATCGAGTTGGACAAGGTCTTCCTTAAGTTCGATGATAGGTTGAGTCACCGATTTCAAGAAGTTGTCTTGTCATATTAGTGAATCACCAGTCAAGACGGTAGAAGAGATGACATAACAGCCATGTTACGATCAGTGGTTTCCAAATGAGTGTCAATAACCGTCATGTGAAGAGGTCGGCCAAAGATGTAACTTTTTAGGAGAACTGTGCAGCAACCTTCTTGCTGTGTATTGCGATGTTACGAAACTTCATTCTAAAGAGGCTGGAAAAGGCTGGATTGTATTATCGGCATCATTTGCTACACCTACTGCTAATTTTTGGGTATTGAAAAAATGCTTACTTTATAGGATCTTACTCTCTTTGGCCACATAAACTCTACTAGATCCTACTAAAGAGCCTTGCGACTTCTCCCACAGGCATGAAATAGTAACACCACAGAAAAAGGCTGAAAATAACACTTTATTAATACCAAATATGAACAGAAGAGCACGTACTTCATGCTTTACAACAACACCGACAACTTGTGGTGGAGCTTAAGAATCGTTACACAATAAATTCAAGTCTAAAAAGTAAGACTGGACTAGTACTTTAAGTTAAGGCTGACTACTTAACTGACTAGTTAAGGCGTATCAGCAACTCCGCGTAACAGCAAGGACATAATCGAAACTTGCGCTGGCTAGCGGAAATATGCTCTGAATAAATTCCAAGATTCACCTGCTTAAATACTCGGTTCACTTAACTTTAAATTAGCATCCTGTTGAGAAAATGCGAAGGGAAGTTGAGGAGTTCAAGAAAGATGACAAAAATTTCAATAATTGGTTAATTGAACTAAAGGAAACCCTATAGCTTGGGCGTCGTGTTTCGAAGCTCGGAATTCATTATTTGAAGCTAAATCATATTCATCGATACATCGTAAGAGAGTTTGTAGAGTTTGTATTCTTTGGTAGCATGAACTGGTATCAAACTCCTAACAGGTCTGCAGAGAATTATCAATGTGTCTGAAGTTTACGATAGAGTCTTGGTAAAGTTTAAAAAAACCCTTTTTACTAAATCAAAACTTGACCATAAATGCAAGATTCGCGCTCATAAATCAACCACCTCTTGTGGTGATGAAACTTAAAGTAACAGTTTCAAGATTTAAAACTTAGTAGCCAAAGGATTTAGATTTAACACGAAGTTTTCTCAAACTTCTCACCAGCGTAACAATTTAAATGTTGGCAACTATAATGCAAAGCCGAAAAATTATAATCTTACCAGAGCTAGCGAAATCTAGTAAGGTGGTCTTGGGAGGTAGAAACACACTCTCTCTTAAAATCCGAAAACCTCACCTTAAATACTCTCAAACTAAACCGATTTGCATTCTGATAGGAAAATGAAGAGAAGAAATGACATTAAGGATTAAATGTTTAGATTAACATAATGAAACTTTGTAAGTTATTGAAACTACGTTTTGAAACGTCCTATTATGAATTATTTCATTTAGAAAGAAGCAATTCGATTAATTTTTTGTTGGATATAATTTATCAATCTCTTACTGAATTATTGTTTTAATTGACTCACAACAATTATAAAATTCAGGTTTATTATATTCTCCTCTCATTGATGTTATAATTTTCGACTTTACGTTTGAATTTCATTACCTATCTGAGAATCCATCTTCAAAAATTTACTCACTTATTATTTTCTGATTATACTTCATCATTATAATAGCGAATAACTTAAGAAACAATTTTGTAAGTTGTGTTTTGCTCTTATGAATGTATATAAAATTTTGGTTTTATTAGTGTTATTTCAATTTAAGCTCAAACATCTTTTACGTTTAGAATAAATAGAGAAATAATAAACTATAGACATAGAAAACTGAACTAATTTCAAAAACCTGAAAGATAAATGAGGATTTGTACTCAAGAGGTGACTGTCGGTTACTACTTGATTTGATGCGGTAACTCGAGAGCGGCAAGACCGCAAGTATCTTCAGACTTAAAAGTAGCAGGTTCAATGTTCCTTCTTACCTTTCTTCGGGAACATGCAAGGACCTGACTCGGAACAGAGAGCTTACTAAAGCTATGTTCACTAATTGTGGGAAGTAGACAGGATACACAAGAAGGGTATACAAAACCCTTTATTTTCTCTATTTACAAAAACTTCCGTACTTCGGAATACACAGACCCGCTACTCGTGGTCTAACGTAAAAATATAAAAATAGAAACTAAACTCTAATTTAACTTTAAAATAATAAACGTGTAAGATTGGCCTTATATTAACAGGAAGCATATGTAGTACAGAGAACTGTGAACACTACAATACGTTTACATTTATCAAGAGGATTAAAACCTCCGGCCTGGAAGGCAACCAGCAACTGCGTAAAACTTCTAAGGTAAGCGGCCTGCTTCGACTCACTGCTTCCTCTCCCTCGCTTGGCAAAAAGCCACAACTTAAATACTTGGCGTTCGCCAGACAAACTTTGCATAAAAACCTTAACGCTTATAATTCTGGCCGGAAGTAGAAAATAAGTGATAGTAAAGATTTAAAATAAAATAAACGTTAGTAAAACTTAAGATCCTTACAAAAGGACCTTTAGGTTTCTGTGAAATCATTTTAAGTTAGCTGTAAGAAATTCAGCAAATATGCGAAAAATCATCTTGAGATGCTGTTTTGCCCGAGCGAAAAAGGCCTTAAGTGCAAAGGCTAATATTTTCATACAGAAATTTCTCGTAGTTCCGTTAAGAATTATTGCTTTAATAACGTGAATTTTAACAGAGTGCTAAGTTTTTTTAAATATGCTAAAGCACATGGAGGTTACCTGTCTAAGTTAAGACATACCTTTCTATATATCTTTTTAAAAGAAATTGGATCATATTCACGTTGCATGTGGGGAAAACTACGAAAACTACCTACGTAACCAGCTTCTTTGGCAGGTTTCAAACATGGATCAAAGTACCAGTATTCCAGTGGTTCTGACTACCCGCTTATTGATGAGGTATACAAGGTGCTTTAAAAGTTTCGATTCATTATATTGAAAAGTGGGCTCGATTCCATACCCAGCAAGGGCAATTTCATGTTTTTCCGTTAGTTACATGGGTACGAAACAGTGTCCTTTGGAAAGTCCTCTACGAACGCATCCTTTCTTTTAGGCCTAGAATGTGTTGCCATAATAATCTGAACCAAATGGAAAAAAAACCATTATACTGAAAACCGCGTGTTAGTTTATTTTTTCTTGAATGTAAAATTAATCATGCTGACAATTAAAATAAGAATTGCTTTTCCTTCTGCAAGACCTTATGTTATACTGAGGATCAATATATGTTTCAACGGAAACAGTATAAGTTAAGTGCAAGAACCAAAATCAACCCTGATGATAATCGTTTAAGAATGCTTTTTCTTCATCATCATCATGGAGACTATCCGAAAGACTGAAGAAGTTGCTGAAAGAAGACAAGCCTTCTACAGAAAGATTGAACATATAATATAGAGTTAGCCACAGATAATGTTAGATGACATTTACAGTGCATTTGGAGGCTTCAGTAAGACAGGGTCGTATCACACTTGCCTCGTATGATTTGTAACTATTTCAGTACTGCATCCGACTGAACTCTTACTTTAGCCAAAATTGACACATCTTGATTGGGGGTGAGGACAAAAGTGACACATATTGATTAAGGGTAACACACTGACAACCAAAACTTTTATTTTTAGGTGGTAATTTAGGTGGTAATGAATAAAATTATACCTTTTATGTTGGAAAATGTTTTGAGATCAACATACGAGAGGTGGGAAATTTGTGTAGAACTCAAAGGAGTATATTTTGAAAGGTTTTAAAGTTCTTTAATACCTATGTATTGTATTCTTATGGAATTTTATTTTTCTCAGTAAGTAATTTTTTTTTCCATAAATCGAAACTTTTGAATATACTATAATGGTGGTGCATTGTCCATGGGAACCCAAACGTTATCACAAAATACCATATGTAGACAATATGCAACTAACGATCTGAGTGATGTTTCCAGAATAGAGCCTCTCAGGATAAAAAGGATTATAAGATCACTGAATTATGGTTTCCAAGCATAATTCAGTGATCTTATAATTGAAAAAATCAGTGAGAAGTATGAGCAGGATTTAATGGTATTTGCTCACAGTTATTGCAGGAACGATAGGATTTTGTGCCATCTCTTTCTATACTCATATCTCGAAGGTGCCTGGGTTCTGAGTCGAGTTATAGTTTCTGTGATGTCTCTACTAGCATTAATTTCAAAAGTCTGGCAGAAGTTTTTAATTATATCATTACCACTGTTTAGATATCTTTCTTCTTTGATAAGTCTAATTTCGTTTTCAGGAATGCCAACGTGAGCAGCCATCCACTAGAGAATGCAGATCTTATCTGGATTGTTCCGGGGGGGAGGTAGTTTATTCCTATCTCCCTAGTGGCAGATGGAGGAATGTTCCTATTGGATTCCTTTGGGTAATGCGAGGGAAATAAAA